ATCTCTGCCTAGTATAAGGAGACAGATATACCCTACAATTAGAAGCTCTTAGTCTCTAAGAATAGTTAGACAAATAACATACTTAGCCTTAAGTAGTTAAAGCACTTTAACACACATATAAAGACACGTTAGGTAGGAGTGTATAGGTTACTTATCTTAGACAGCTATAAGAGCTATCTTAACTAGGAGTTTAAGGACTATTACCTAGAGAACTAAATCCTTACTCTCTACATGCTACCTTACTTATTATACATCCTCTAGCTACTTAATATAGTCTATTTCTTGCTGTTAAAGTGTAAGTACTCCTAACATGTTTAAGACTTAGTACACTAACATATCTTCTATATTAATAAGGAAGGCTTCCTACTAGCCTTTAGGGATGTGTTCCTTAATATATTTACAAAGGTTAACTACTAAAAGGCCTTTAAGGTATTAGGGCTTGTTTCTACTAACACGCAGGTAGTGTTAGATTGCCTTAAAGTGCAGCTGCATACCCTACTAGCAGTACCTCTACCTAAAACGCTGTAGCAATCTAAGACGCTAAGCAATACACACAAGTTTAGGTCTTAATCTAAGCTTATAAGTAACTCCTTCTAATAATTACTAAGTGCAGCGTAAGAGGGGTTCTTAAAGCTTATAAAAGGGGCTAAAGAGATACTACACAAAAATGTCCTTATTAAGGCCTGCGTGCAAGAGCTTAAAGAGCAATTAGTAGTAATAACTAAGAGAAAATTGCGTAAGAGAAAGCAGATTTAGTATAGTAGCACACTTAAGTATGGCCTAGCAGCATCACAGGTAGCTGCTGAGGCGTGTGTAGCAGCTTAGCTATCTAAGAAGACTTAGGGTAGAGGTAGTTAACTAGGAGCTTAGTTAACTGTTTAGCGCTGTAGGAACTGTAGCAAAACTAGACATAACGCACAAACGTGCTAGGAGGGTGTAGAAATATCTTCTAAATCTAATATAAGCATACAGTATGCTAGGTCACTGTTTAATAGCAAGTAGTTGTAGTTGCAGTAACTTGTGTTAGTTGTGCTAAGAGAAAATGGCTGGTTCAGTGATATGGCCGGCTCAGTGATAATCTACGTTACCTTAGAGATTATAGAGGACTTCCTTAAACGCTCTGTGTTGCTATATACAACACCTAGGTACTCTGTTATTATACTAGACAACGCCTCTATTTATTAATTAACTTAGGTTTGTGAGCTTTGTGCAATGTACAAGGTAGAGCTAGAGTACCTTCTACTATACTTACCTAACTACAATCTAATTAAGAAGAGCTTTAAGTAGCTAAAAAGTTAAATTAAAAGACACTCTAATAATTAGGCTTTGTACAACAACTTCTAAATAGCTAAGTTGCAATGCGCTAACGCTAACTAGATACTGCTAGTGTTGTAGATGTGGGTGCCTCCTGTGTTAATTTAGGTGCTAGCTTATTAATTTTCTGCTAAGTTAACCTTCTTGTAGGCATTATAATACTATAAGAAGTTAAGATACTAATAATATTAAGCTTTAATTATCCTAGAAGGAGCAGCAGCTAGCTCTGTTGTTGTTAAACGCTAAATTTGGCTAAGACAGCAACATTGACATCGTCCGCATCTTCCGCGCGCTAAATCACATGATGTACATGGTATTTCGAAAATCACCCATAAGCTACGAAGGAGCTCGTTTTTAGTCATGCACCGCACTGGCTACCCCCACCAAAATCAATGCGTAAACACCAAAACACCATACTTTGCACCGCGATAACTTTCCCAAAACTTAATATATTTTTACAAACAATGTACAAGGCAACGTGCAGAAAGCTAATGAAGAAGAAGGGGCGCGCTCCTACTATAAAAAAGACGTTGGGTTGTGAGTTAACTGCGATTGAGCGCGCGTTTATTGCGGGCGCGTGCATCGCAGGCAGTCTATCACACAACGATTGCGCTATGGGTGATTTTCGAAATACCATGTACATCATGTGATTTAGCGCGCGGAAGATGCGGACAATGTCAATGTTGCTGTCTCAGCCAAATTTAGCGTTTAACAACAACAGAGCTAGCTGCTGCTCCTTCTAGGATAATTAAAGCTTAATATTATTAGTATCTTGACTTTTTATAGTGTTGTGATGCCTACAAGAAGGTTAACTTAGCAGAAAATTAATAAGCCAGCACCTAAATTGACACAGGAGGCACACGCACCTACAACACTAGCAGCATCTAGTAAGCGTTAGCGCATTGTAACTCAGCCATTTAGAAGTTGTTGTACAAAGCCTGCTTATTAGAGTGTCTTTTAATTCACCTTTTAGCTGCTTAAAGCTCTTCTTAATTAGATTATAGTTAGGTAAGTATGGTGGAAGGTACTCCTGCTCCACCTTGTACATCGCACAAAGCTCACGAACCTGAGTTGATTAATGAATAGAGGCGTTGTCTAGTACAATGATAGAGTACCTAGGTGTTGTATATAGCAACACAGAGCGTTTAAGGAAGTCCTCTATAATCTCTAAAGTAATTAAGCCTTAAAAAATAGTGTAACTAAGGTATCTGTTCACTGTTATTGCTAGCAGAAGTGACCATTGCTTACTCTGTTTTATAGAGTAAGCTACTTCAACAGGCGTGCTAACTCTACTCTAACTATACTTACAGTCGCTAGTCCTCTTGTTGCAAGCGCTCTTATTGATCGCAATGATTTACTCCGCCTTGTACTGTTGCATCCTCGCTCTGTACACCCTCTAGAGTGGCTTGCTTTGCTCAATCGCACGCTTTGTAGCCAGCTTCCTGCTGTAGTGAAGCTTCTCTAAAGCCCGCCACACTAGGCTGGCGGATGGGTAGGGTAGGGTAGGGTATAGGTATAGTCACGTGATTTATGGGTAGGAACTAGGTAGGGTACATGAGGTACCCTACCCAAACCGTTTGGGTAGGGTAGCACGTGACTGGGTATAGGTATAGGTAGGGTAGCACGTGACTAGGTATAGGTATAGGTAGGGTAGCTAGGTAGGGTCTAGGAATGGGTAGTTATTAGCAAAATCTAGGTTACTACTCTAGACTTTGTACTAT